AAAAWAATGACACAAAATTGTGTACACTAGGTTGCATTCAGGCCCAGGCCACCCTTACAAGATCTGCAATCTCAATGGGATTTACCTGGTTAAATAACAGTAAATAAATAAATAGTAAACTTTATCGATGACCAGCTGAGGGGATCAGGTAGTTACTGAATGATGCACAAGAGGAAAACCATCTGGAAATCAACCCTTTTTATCAAAACCATTGGAAATTAACTTGTTTTCTCGAGAAAACGGTCCACATTATTTCATGATAACGACGTAACGAGTGGCTGTGGTGGAGTGGTTAGTTAAGTTAAGTTAAACAAAAAGGTATTTTTTAATTCAGACTTCATGAAGCTGACGCTTAAAAGTCCTCTTTAAGCTATACCTACTGATTTACAGTATGAATGGTTGAACTAGATGTGTTCTGTAGAGTTTGGGCTTAAGGGTGGTGACATTGCTTCAAATTACCATATGTCTTGTTTTAAATAAATAATAAATGCTTGGCTTGAACAATATAGGAGACTCCCTTGTTGTAATTTGATCATTTCAGTGTTTTCTATAATGTCACAGATTTTTACATAATTTCATTCAGTCTTCAAAACAGAGATATTCCAAAACAGCAACCCAACAGATCCAGTCAGCTTTACATGTGAAGTCAGAACTTCTCACTGCTGTCATGTATTCTGTTTCTTGTAATATAATATTGCACCATGAGCAGTGGCACACAGAGGCTTCTTCCTGCCACAAACAGACTTTAACCATGGGGTACTTCATGGTACCCACCAAAAATTGTCTTTGTGAATATGTATGAAATCTCTTCAGGAGGCAGAAAGGGAGTTAGACAGAGACGCTGTGGTGCTGGTGTCTTCCTCAGATAGCTGTGTGTGTGAGTGTGTGTGTTGTTGGGCATGTCAAGTCTGAAGGTGCCTTAAAGTGAACCAGTTTAACTTCAGTCTTTAGATTGTTCATAAATATGAATTCTACTGACTCCCAATGGAACKGCAATGGTAATTTTTGTAACAGTTTAAAATTCACATTTTGCTAAGACATTTAAAACTAAATTAAAGCCTAGTTCAGGGGGATTCAACGGGACCACGTACAGCTCATGGGTGACTTTCGTCCGGCCCGCTTTAATTTATTATACAATTATATTTTAAATCAGCTGTAACGCCATCCATTATCTATACCGGCTAATTCCTTTCAGAGTCACGGGGGTGRCTGGTGCCCATACACAGCAGTCACAGTGCGAGAGGCGGGGTACACCCTGGGCCAGGATATGAACCGGCAACCTTCTTGCTGAGAGGCATCAGCTCTACCAACTGAGCCACCATGAGCCTCAGTTGTAAATATTTAATATCAAATTCAGTTCAACAAAAAAGAACAATGTTTAAAAATAACAATACTAATTCTTTAACATCAGGGGTTCTTAACCTTTTTTGACCTCGGGKCCCAATTTATTGAACATAAAAGTGGCATGAGGCCCAGTCAGACATGACCAATGTACGGATCAAAAAATGATAATTATTATAAATCTTGGTTTAATTTTTATTGTATTTATATTACAACTAAATTAAATACACTTACATTTTAAAAGTAAAACTCCTGTCAAATAATCACAAGACATGATTATGACAAACATTTTTATATTGTAACCTGCCCATAACAATTWTTTGAACAAATACAAAGGTCAATCAAAAGACCACTCAGGCTTATCAACACAAATATATGTATACAGTGTATATATATATATATATGAAATAGACAATTCAATAAATAAAATTGTGGGTATAAAATAAATAAATGAAAAATGTTCAAATGTTTCAAATACAAAAAAAACCTTAAAACAAATTTGATAAAGTACAGATGAAAATAAAGCCTTTTTAAACTTTTGCATGGTAGAACCAGAAGCTGCTCTTCATATTAGTGACAAACAATAATAGTAACAACAGTTTTTGACATGTTTAAAGTTTCTTTAAAATACATTAAAATATTAACTGCAAAAAAATAATTTGAAGTGCAAATTAAAGTATAGCTGTATCTGCAACTGTATTTGATAATGTTTTGAACTTTTAAAATATTGCATGATAGAAGCAGAAGCTTCATATTAGTGACAAACTTGGGCTTTTTTCGACGGGTTGTCTCCATTTTTGCTTCTACTTTTTATTTAAAATAGATTTCCATTCTCGGCAGGTTTCTAAGGTTCTTCGTCGACATATTAAAAAACTTGTTAAACATCTGAGTGGTGCACTACCGCTACTAGTGGCGAGAAAGTGTATTACACCTTATTCAAAATCAATGCAGTCCCACTGCCCTCTGTGGCCCAAAGTTAAAAACTGTTGTTCTTCTGAGGCCCTCAAGGTGGCGGTCGCAGCCCACAATTGGGCCGCAGCCCATAGATTAAGAATCTCTGTTTTACATAATGAAGTGTTTCCTCCGTACTACTGGGCAACGCCCTTCTCCTGGCCCCTGAGCTATTAGCTTTGATCAACTGTACTGTAGCCCCACTAGCAGCAAACTTTCTTACCTTGCATAACTTTAAACACAATCAGCTCCTAAAATATACCAAACTTCATTCTCAAGATTGAGCATATATTTATTACTTTTTATTTTATTTTGTTTGATAGCCAACTAATCAAATATTGAATTAGCCAACATTTATTTTTCAACTTCCAGTGCCTCTCATGTAGAAAACTTGCCAGCGAGGAAGAAGCTTGCCATCGTCGATTTCTGTATGAATTGCAGCACAAAGGCTTTCCWACAACATATTCTTATCAACTTTTCTCAAATCTTTACTCTGCAGAGTAAAACAAGCTTTACACAAAAGTTCCGAACTTTGCCAAAAGTAATGCAAGTCCAACATATTCCTGCATAGAGTTTACTTTTCAGACCCTGAGGGCACATTCATCTTTTATGCACACTCATTTAGAAAATGCACTTAGTTGTGTAATTCATGGTTTTTGACTGGAAGTTTAAAAGAAGTGATGACCATTTTCTTTGTAAAGAAGCAGTTATAGTGAATTTATTTTAAGGTTATTATTAACTTATCAAGCCTCTGATTAAATATCCAATACTGAATTCTTCTATGATAAATATATCAGTTTAATATGCTAAAAGAACATGTTACTTCAAAAGGCTGCAGATGTTAATTAGCTGTCATTTGTGCTGCTATCACCACTGTAAGCAATGACGAACAATGATATGAAGTGTTCCATGTTTCACCCTCAATAAATACAATTTTTAACATCTTGTTAAAATTGTCCAAAGTTAAAACTTAACTAGAATATGAGAAAATATTTTTGGCTCAATTTACTAATTTATTAGTAAAAATTTGTTATCATCCACCACCAAAGGCAGAGCGGGTTCACTTGTCTGTCCTGTTAGAAAAATGTCTCATRAACAACCAAACAGATTGTAATGAAACTAACAGAAAATAATCATTGAGTTGCCATCTATAAATTATTACCTTTTGGAGTTAAACTGATTCAAGAGAGCTGCCACAACTGACCCAAGAAAACACAACTAAACCAATATTAAAGATATTGAGCTAATTTGCTGTAGAGAGTCATTCACAACACATAATCTAAGTCACCTGTTTCGGATGTTATCATCCATTAAATGGATGTTATTAGCCATTATCAGTCCCATAGAATGGCTTCAGACTGTCTCAACTGTGCCGCCTAGTGGGTTCTCCGTCCAATAGAATGGCTTCAGTCTGTCAGCTGGTTAGTATGAGGCATAAAGGCACTAAGGTTAATTTTAGAGAAAATGGCATGGGCCATGATAAAGTAGACCGGACTCCGGCGGTCGCAAATTGTTGCATTCCAACAAATGACACTGGTAAACCACTAGGGGACACAGTCGGGACAGTCTGATGCCAGTCAATRTGACTGATAACTGCTAATAACGTCCATTTAATGGACTGATAACATCCSAACTGGCAAATCTAAATGCAGATTGTGCAAAGATCACATGGTTACAACAAAATCTTATGAGATTAAGTATGTTTAGCTAAACGTTTGACCAAAATAGCCTAAACTCAATTATTTACCAGCATGAGTGTTTCCTAATTTAAGCTCTAGCCCACAAGTGTCCCATCTGGCCCACCAAAGGGGACCAAAAAAAATTAAATATACTGTRTATGAAAATTTCAATATTAATATGAAAAACGTTTTTTATAATATTGATGAACTAATAATACTTCAACCTGGAAAGACTCACACAAAGACAGACTAAAGTTAGGAGGTTTATTGACATGAATGAAATTAGAGTTTGGCGCTCAGACCCCAGCAAAGGATGTGAGCGACGTGAGTTGCTGTAAGCTCAGATGAGCTGCTTAAGTTGAGTTTTTCTTCACCCCGGGACCCGTACACTGGTGGTGGTGGTGGTCGTAGGAGGTGGAAACCCATGGGAGCCGGAAGATCGAGGCTGGAGGAGGGGTAGTGGTAGACTGATGTTTGGCTGACGATCAGACTGGACGAAGTAGGGGAGGCAGATTAGTCTTCCAGAGTTGAACTTTCATCTAGACTCCATTTGTTGGCTTTAAGTAACTGAGCATTTTACTTGGATAGCACAATATTAATGTCTCAAAATAAGCTGCTTTGAAGCCAACATCGACCATAAACTACATCTCCCATGTTGATTATTAGGAATTCCCTGTAGGAAAGTGGGAGAGTTCAGAATTCAAGATGGCAGCTACTCACTACTACTCATCAGTGAGTAAAACTCTCCTACTTTACTTTTAATAGTATTTGTTTATTAATGATTTCACATTTAGTCAGTTCTACTTTCAGTKTTTATAAGAGGACGTGTTAAAACGTTGTTTCTATACAGGAAATACCAGGCAGAGCTCAGTTATTGTTTGCTAGCAGTGCTCAGCTATTGCAAGGAGGTATGATATTTAGTCGAAGTTAAACATGAAACGTCAAAGTTAATTACAACTGGCCCTTTGAGGGCCACCATAACACTCGTGGCTCTCGGTAAAAATGAGTTTGACACCTCTGCTCTAGCCTGAAACACCTTTTTAAGTTTTTTCAGTCAACTTTATAAATGAAAAAATATATAGAGCGTAGATTACTGTGCTACTATACTGTTTTAAATCCTAATAATTATCTATGAAATTCTGTTTTTTGCAGTAGTCCTGTTTGTGTACAGCTTTTTGCATTATATGTAAGTGCGTGTTTTGATGCAGAGGTGCGCGGACAGATTGTTAAAATACTCTGCAGGTTTCACTTCAGTGCTCCTCTTGCTGTCAGCCGTCTGCAAGGCCAGGTCAGCCCAGGGTCGGCCCAATCCCGATTATCCCAGATGATTGGCGGCTCTGTCTGCGGCCACAGATGACTGAGTCAGTCTGACAGCCTTATTGGAGGGGACCCAAGTTCACGGGCAGGGTCAGAGGTGACAGAAGACCAGAGGAGGGAGATGTTAGATTATGATTGGTTTATGAGTGACAGCTTGACACAGCCAGGTAGGCAGAGAAGAAGAGCGAAACAAGAGGTCAAGGTATTACTGAATGGTGTATTACATTAGTGGCCTTGGCGATGATAGTGGGATTTGTTTCATTTAGAATGATCTCATTAAGAGCAGTTTATGTGCTGCTGCCTTAGCCCACTGCTACTGCAAAATATACTTTTATAGTCCTACTTTACAGTTCCCAGATTGAAAATGTAATCGGATTATTATTCATCAAGACAGAGTTAGTTACAACCAACTGTTGTCGTTCCCAAACTGCTCTCAAACTTCCACTCCTGGTTTGAAGATTTGAAGGCCGTTAGGAAACTGACAAGACTGCCAAAATAATTATTAGGACCACTTTAAAGGGGAAGTAGATCTCTGCAGTCATTAAGGGGGAGTTTATTGGTGTGTGGGAGGGGTTTGTCAAAGACGTGATTGGTCTGTTTGACTTTTGTGGGAGGATTTTGGTGAAGATGTGGTTGGTCGGATTTACTATTTTGTGTGGAGTTTGAAGAAGCCAAAAATGATTATGTTGGATGACTGCTGGGCAGCTGTGGGGAGGCAAAATAACCAGGAAGCACCTACCATATTTATTTGTTTTGACATTTCTTCACATATAACAGAAATATTCCCCCTCCCTTTTGTTGTAAGTCGCGCATAATGAAGCATATAAACCATAGCTGTTTACTCACCGGAGTCAGACGAAGAAAATCTTGTTTTCTTTTTCTTCTCACCCGAGGCGATGTAAAAAAAAAAAAAAGACTTGGACTTTAGTTGCATGTTCTAATAAATCCATCTTAAATTAACAACCGGCTTCTGCTCTGGTCTGAGAGCAGATTGTTTTTTCAGTGACCAGTCCAGAACCGGAAACCTCAGCTACTCGTCCTGCGTAGCTCTGCAGCAAAACACACCCACACAGGGTTTTTTTTTTCTAAATAATATTTGGCCACCAGAGGGCGCACCGCAAAGGCTGAAAAATCGAGGTCTGTCTGAAATGAGTGGTGGCTTCATACATGATGATTAAATTTTTTAATGCTTTTTAAGCTCAAAAAATGATCGAKTTATACTTGAGGTTGTGTTATAAGATAAGATAAAACTTTATTGTCCATACAAAAATGAAAAAAAAAATTGTTTATATAATCTGTTTGATGTCCCCCATAAAAACAACACACATCACAACATCATAAACAATTATCATAATGATTAAAAGAAAGACAGCTAAAATGTAATCTGCACTGATGAGTTCATTTTTTCCTCCTCTGATTTAGGACACAAATAAATACAGTATGTTTTGTAATATAACTATTAATTTTACATAACTCAAGACAAAAAGTTGATAGCCGCACAAAATTTGAATGCTTTACATGTGGAGGGGTGTATAACAATATTTCTCAGTCAAAACAGTCCTAACCCTCCTGGAAAAATATTTTATTTTATATGAATATTAATTATATTCATAACACAAGACAAGAAGGTTCTAATTGCACCAAATTTAAAGCCAATAAATTATATTTACATGTTCACAATCATTTTATTATTACCATTACTTCATCTTTTAACCTGTCCCACAAGACAAGTCAGTCTGACCAATCGTGGTTAGGACAAACTCTGCCCACACACCAAGAAACTCCCCTTTATGTACTGCAGAGATCTCTTAAAGAAAAAAAAAAAAACAACCTAGGAGACAAAATCAGCGCAATATGTTTCTCATGTCAGTGGATGTTGTGTCCTTTAAATGAAAAAAATGCGTTGGTAAATTTTGTGGATGACGGCTACATGTACTGAGTACTTAGATTATTAAAAAATGATTATGATATCAGTGTTCCTACAAATACTAATTTTAATAAAAAAACATGTTGTATTTGCATCCTATTTTCAGTGACTGATGTCGGTGTGAGACCCTCAGACTTCATCTGGGATTTCGCAGAAGAACAAGCCTTTACAGCTTGTGAAAGTACTAAGAAGCTAAATAAAGGTTAAGAACGGTAATGTACATTTTCAATGTACTACAGTATTTAATGTGCAGCAGACGAGTAGTGCAGCTGCTCCTCTGTACAGAACTCCATCTCCTCTGCTCCTAATTGCTGCTTTCAATTCATCCTCCCTTTCTTAATCATTCCTGCACTTCACCCGTACTTTGATACGCCGCCTCAGATCTCCACCTCCACCCCGCTCGTCTTCTTTAAAGCCTTCATCCTTGAGTTCTCATCTCTGTCTCCGCTCAACTTATTCCAGCTCTCCTGCTCCCTGCTTCAGCATCACTATCCCCCTCCCCCATCCCTTCTCACCCCTCATTCTCACCTCCCCTCTGTCCATCTCGTCTGCGCCGTCTCTCTTCCTCTTACCCTCTCTCAACCTCTCACTAATCAGAGTTTCATCCTTTAAAGCTACTTTTTTTTTTTACAGCTGAAGAAAGAAAAAAAAGTGGGGGTCGGGAGCACAGAGCTTCACTGAAGAGCGAGCACGAGGCCAATCATCTCCACTCTCGCTCTCAGCGGTCCATCTCAGGTAAGAGTTCAAGTGCCGCTGAGGGATGTTGATATCACATCAAATCCACATCTAACTTCACCCCCGAGGCAGGAATAGCCAGATTTGTATTAAAACTGCTTGAGCACACCGGTAAATGTCAAGGCATTGAGTCTGCAGGACTACAGCACAACATGCTCTGCTCACCTTATGGTGCGACGGGAAAATGTCAAGCGAAAGATCAGCCGGACTATTGACTTTACCAATCGAACTCCGTTTAGTCAGGAGATGTAATTATCATGTAGATGTGACAGAGATAAACGGTACCTTGCTTTGACTGATGTCTGTCCCTATGCAAAGTTTACATATCCTGTTTTGAGTCAGCTACACTTCACAATCCAATAAAAGAATGCATATTGTCCATCTGCTCTCATGTCAGATTTAAGGTAAGGTAAMGGTACTTTATTGGTCATCAATGCATGTTCCCATACACTAGCTGTGTTTCCATTGCAAATGTGCGCATAACTTTGTCGATATTCTGTTAATGTCAAAAAAACACAGTTTCGCAACTGCGGTGTTTCCATTAAGTAAGAAATGTCGCGTTAAAGTCACGCGTGAATACGTTTGTTCTCACGATAAGTCATTACAAACATGTCGGCAATGGATGTAAACACATAGCATGTTGCTACCGCGACACTAGCGCTCATCATCAGAGGAGACGTCGGCGTCTTATTGAGGCTTTTGAGTGACAAGTCCCTACTTGGGAGCGGCTACGTATGCTGTGTTTTTGGGAAATTGTAGTCGGTGAGTTTACTACTTTATTTTACTACTTCTGTGATATTACTACTTACTTCCTGTTATCTTCTTCGTCATCGTCTTTTTCGCCAGTAGAAACAGCCGGTTGTTGGTCACTCCCGGGATGCGAAAAAAGTGTTTCCATTGCAGTCTTGCGAAAACACCAAGTTCGATACGGCTGAAAAACCACCTCATCCTAGCGCAAAAATATTTTGTCGAAAAACTTTTTTTTTTTCGAAATTGATGCGTTTCCATTGAGCAAGTTTATTTTCGAAATTCTAATTTGCGCATTTTCATGGTCAATGGAAACGCAGCTAATGACAAAATGTGCGCTCTGCATTTGACCCATCACACATGAGAAACACCCAAGTGGAGCAGCGGGTAGCTATGTGAGCGCCCGGGGAGCAGTTGGGGGTTGGCTGTCTTGCTCAAGGACACCATGACATGTATGTTAAAGTGCCTGTGACATGCCTATCCTTCAAATACAAAAAGTCAAAGAAAGCATCTTTATACTTGAGAAAATTGTTATTGTACACATGATTTTACCCATTTTGTCACATAACTGGCCTAATTTCTTTTAAATTTGGCTTAGCCAAAGTGAAACAGGAAGTGACATCAAAGGGGAACTCATTAATAAAATAAACTCTCTGCTCTTTGTTTATTAAAACAAAATTATTTAAATTTTAACTCTTCTTTGTCTCTCTTTGATAGCAACTAAAATAATCTGAAGAAATATCAGATTTTTCTTTACAGTCTGTGTTGTTAGCTTTTAAAACAGTACTCTGTTTACATGCTGACATTCCCTTTTGACATCACTTCCTGTTTTTTCACATGCAAATATCTCAACAACCGTTCATCTCAGCAACGTGGATTTTTTTTTTGCAATATATTATCAGTGTTAGCTTGCCTAAATTGCATTCATGATTATTACAAAAATTTGATGTCGCAGGCACTTTTAACATCACATTCTGAGAAGGGACAGAATTAAAGCCTTTCAGGTCAAATTTTGTAAAAGACGTTATGCAGGATCTCATGCAAAACTGTGAGATCTTGAGAGATGTGACCTCTTTTTGCTACCAACACAAACTTTAGCTAAATATGTGTAAAAATATAGGTGAGACCTATCTCCAACACATACTCTAAGCATTTATCGCTCAAAATCTTGCAAAACAGTGGGTGATATGCACTTTTAACAAATGTTTCCTCCTTACACTTAACCTAATGTTCTTATCTTTCAAAGAGGTCTTCAAAGAATTTTTTTCTTTTCATTCACTGTCAGTTTTTTGTGTGTTTGTTTTTTAACTACTTTTTGGTCACAGTATTGACTCTTTTCAGTGAAATGTTTTGTCCGTTATTTTCAGAGAAATGTTTATTCAGTCCTATAAAAGGCTCTCAAGCAAAGGCCAAGTTGGTGAATAAAATCACAAAGCTTAAAAAAACCTGCATCATGCACAACCTGATATTACAGTGTAAAGAAACATTTGAGCTTATTGAACTTTTAAAAGCTCAAGTAAGCACTATTCAGTTTTATGGACTTCTTTATTTTGTTGATGAATCAAATACGAGAAGGTACTTTTATGAACAATAAAGCCTCAGTGAAACCTCTTGGTAAGTAAAAGGAAAAAAAGCTTCATTTTCTGACGTCTAAACTAAAAAAAAAAACAAACAAGATATGGATTTTTGCAAAAACAGATACCATTCTTATCACATTACTTTACAGTTTTCACTGAATTAAACATGTCACATTTTGTATTTATTTATTTTTTTGGTTTGCCGATTCAAAAGACTTTGACGCGCGTTTCTAAAAATTCAAGGGTTGCGATTTTAGCAGAGCAATGACATGAATGTCCTCTTTGGCACAATTAGGTTTGATTTGGCATGTTGTGCCTCTGGGCTATAATCATACATGATGCGTTTCTAGCAGCAGGGGGTGTTTTGTGGTTTGTTTTTGAATGAGTTTGAAGCACTTTGCATTCCGCTTTTGTGCTCCAGGCACCTCTCATTTATCCACTTGTGTCGCCCTGCTTTTATTGAAGAAGCACCTGCACTCTCGAGTCGAAAATGACCACGCTTCAATGGGCTGTGAGCAGAAAATGACCCTGTTTCACTGTTCCCCCCCCCCTTTTTTTCATTCCAAACTTTAGTTGTCCAATCAGAGCAAACTAAATGGAAGTCAGATGCTCTTTTAGGTCGTTTTCACACCTGACACATTTGGTCCGCTTTAAACGGACCAGAGTTCGTTACCGGTGTTGGTCTGGACCTTTTGTGCAGGTGTGAACGCGACCTCTGGTTCAGAACCGGACAGAGACGCATTTTTTTGAGGTGGTCTCGGTCCGCTTCCAAACAAACTCTGCTGCAGTTCGCTTCAGGTGTGAATACAGATTGGATTCGAACCGAACCAACTACATAAAACATGTGCCTTTTTGGACTTCACGGGCCACCGTTGCTAAGCTAACTAAACTGAAATCATACCTGATTTGTTGTCTCCTGCTTAGCAGCTCTGCTGCCAGTAGTGTTGTAGTACATGAAACTGGTCTTGGTCTTTAAACCGGTCTCAAGACCACTTTTTATGGTCTTGGTCTTATCTYGGACTCAACAGCATTTGTACTTGGCAGTGTTGTATAAAGTACCACAAAGTGATACTTGAGTAAAAGTACAAGTATCTTACCAAAAAATTACTTTGGTAAAAGTTAAAATCTTCTTTAGGAATATTACTTGAGTAAAAGTCTTAAAGTACCTGATATTTTTTGTATTTAAATATTAAAAGTAAAAGTATTGATTTAAAATGAGCAGTTAGATTTTCTGTAATGACATTTAGGAGGTGACCTCCCTCAAAAAAAATGCAGAAATGACTATATTGTATTAAAATTATTAATTTACAGTATATTAAATTTAGGATGCACTAGTCCAGCTGTTTCAGTTTATGTACATATATCAAGGCTGCCCAAACCTTTTCCYCAAAATAAAAATCTATCTGAGGGCTGCGGCCAAATGCAATAATATAATTCATGAAATACAAATACTTCTTAAGTACAGTCCTTTTGTTTTAAAGATTATATTCTGCTGGAGTGTGACATGATTTGTTTGTGTACAAACTAATACAGTATCAGAATTTTATATATTTATACTTCTCATTCAACCGCAATCAAATTCACTCTATCCAGGAGGCACAATTTATATGGATATTTATTTTTTACACTAACAAGCTGGAATGAAAACAAGCAAAAATGAAATAAAAGTAACAACTTTCTGCTTCTTGCCTTTTTAAAAAATGTAAGGAGTAGAAAGTACAGATAACTGTGTGAAAACGTAAAAAGTAGAAGTAAAATGTTGGCTGAAAAATAATTACTCAAGTAAAGTACAGATACCCAAAAATTCTACTTAAGTACAGTAACAAAGTATTTGTACTTATTTACTTTACAACTCTGGTACTTGGTCTTGTCTGGACATTGAGGACTCGGAATTTTATTTCAAGAACAGTCAAGACCACAACTGTGGAAATATCACAGCCAGATTATTATCCAATTTATTAGTTAACAATCTTGCTTTCATTGGATTTAAAATGTAGCTACTGATTCAAATCCAAACCTGACTTATTGTTATTTATGTACTTTTGTTATCGGCTGTCACCCATCCCCACTCTCTTCACTCACACGCAGCGCTACAGGAAAGTAAGCAGTGGTTCTTTGGGAGCGGTAAAAGATGTCTTCAAAACATCAAACTAAATACTTTTTCCTCCCACTGTACTTGTGTACACAATACTCCATCTTTTAGGACACATTTTTTCCCCTAGTCTTGGTCTTGTCTCGGTCTCGCCCTGCCTTGGTCTTGGTCTGGACTTGGTCCAAACCCTAAAAGTCTTGGTCTTGTCTCGGTCTCAAGACACTGTGGTCTGTGTTTTGACTTGGTCTTCGGTTAGGTGGTCTTGACTACAACACTAGCTGCCAGCATGTAGTGGGTCAGAACATGCAGAGCATTGCAAAAAAGCACAATGTGAATGCAAACCGCAACAAATGAAAAAATAAAGTCCACTTTTGGTCCGGACCACAGGACCTATATAAATAAATAAATAAATAACGTGCCTGTGGTTGTAACCTGGCATGTTGTTTCTGTACAAGTGTGTTCTGCGATAACAGACCGAATGACACGCTGCACCTGAAATAGATGCTAAGTTTCATATTTCCTCTTGAAGTTAGCTAATTACATTAGTTCTGCTATGTCTTGTTACCTAGCAACAGCTAAAGGACAATTTCGAACATCTGCCTGTGCAAGCCTTTCAAAATCAAGGCCTTCTAAATGAGCCCTGCCTATTGTGCCCACTTCTATGATGAGGAATGAAAGTGCTGCASAGACAAAGCAAAGCCCAAGTATGAAAAGATATTTGATAGAGAAAGCCGGGACGAGTTGAATGTGTGGTAAACCTTAAYGACACGTGGTTCTGTCTCACTTTGAATAATGCTAATAAATATGCTGCTGGTCTCTCCCACGCTGCGGGGTTTTACACAGGAAATGTCAGCTTTCAGGATGGTCAATACCTGATAACCTTTTTATGCCAGAGCAAAATGTCCAAAGGCGACCACCCCGATAGACGCCTGTTTTAATCAATTCCTAAAAAATCTTTCTGAAACATTTAGGCTTTTGTTTGGAGTGAGACTTGAAGAGTGTTTTTGCAGTTTGTGCAGCCACTCATCCAGCTTAGTTTTGGTTATACTGTACAAGTTTGACTAATGCTGGTGAAGATTCCAGGTCACGATCACAGAGATGGAGACTCGTGTATCTCAGACTTAAACTTGAGTCACACTTAAGTCCCTATTACTAGAGACTTAGACTTGACTTAGGCCCTAAAGACTTAAAACTTGACTTGGACTCGTGGTTTGAGACTCGCGAACAACGCAATTCTTTTCACTGCCCGGCTCATGATGCTCACTCCCTCAATACACATGCTTTTGTTTTCTGGTGTGTATATAATTGCTTTAAAGTGCCTCTGACATGCCTATCCTTCAAATACAAAAAGTCAAAGAAAACATCTTTATTTTTTAAGAAAATTGGCATTGTACACATAGTAATATTAAAACATAATACTATGTTTTATTTAATTAAAATATAGTTTATAGAATATAGTTAGTATAGTTGGAATTTCTTTGATGAACTGCAATGAGACTTGAACTTGAGGTCAAGAAACTTGATACTTGACTTGGATTTTTGGTCAAAGACTTGGACTTGGATCCAAAGACTTGAGACTTGACTTGGACATGGAGCCAAAGGCTTGAGACTTGACTTGGACATGGAGCCAAAGACTTGAGACTTGACTTGGACTTGGAGCCATTGGACTTGAGGCTTGACTTTGACTTGCAAAAAGGACTTGAGACTTGACTTGGACATGGAACCAAAGACTTGAGACTTGGACTTGGATGTGGAGCCAAAGACTTGAGACTTGACTTGGATGTGGAGCCAAAGACTTGAGACTTGACTTGGAT